CTACCACAATATCCGTTGATTGAACACTGGAGTAGTTGAGAACAACTTGTAGAATTTAATTTCCAGCGAAATGCAATTGGTCGGTGCGTATACCAATACGACGAATAAGCATCGACGCTTCGTTCTACAGCTGCTGACCCGTACTGAGCAGTCGAAACGTACAGCGCAGTTGTGTACGAAATACTGAAGAATGCCCTTAGTGGTCTCTAAAATGTGGTTATTGAATGAATAGCTGGAGAAAAGCTGTTCGACTTAGAGTACGCTGACATCGTTTATCTGTTCGAATGTATGGAAGATGCGCAAAACGCACTTGACAGACTAGCAAGTTATGTTGTTCTGTTCGGTATGCTCTCTGAACATTCAAAGCGTAAAATGAGGCTGCGAGACAGTGTTTAGCCAGGTCCTGTTCTGAAACATGGTAAGGAATTAGCTGAAGTTGACTGCCTCTCGTACCTGGGTAATTGCGTGACTATCAACGGTGGCACATCAAAGAAGATAACTGCATCGATTTTGAAGGCTCAAGCGGTATACGCAGAACTAAAGCATCCGTGGCGACGACGTGACGTTTCACTGAAGTTTAAAGGTTGTGAATACTGGACCAGTGTACGATCAGTTCTGACTTACAGTCGTGAGACATTGAATTTGCGAGTAAAAGACACCCACAGCCTGGAGGTCTTCAACAACCAATGCCTCCAGGTGGGATGAAATGAGCTAGTTAGCGACCCAGAAGTCGTCGAGTGTTTCGGAATGCAACGAACAAGAACTCCCTATCGTATCGAATTCAGTTCATTAGGTTACGTTGTTTAGGACACGTTTTGCGTATGTCTAACGGTCGCCTATCGCACTTTATTTGCAGTAGCCACTCTAGACTGGCGAAAGCCATGTGGAGGACAGCAGGTGACGTAGGAACGAGACATGAAGGATTCACAGCGATTACGGAGAGTAGGTGTTTTTCACCTTCCGGGTTGGGGTCCAAAAGGCTCCGCAACCGCATGGTTGGAGACACCAAAGGTCATGGCAGCAAACCGAAAGCAGCGGTGATGTCCCTGTCAATTGTTATCAGACTAGAATGCTTGAAAACTTGTGTATGCACAGTTGAACTGCGTATCGTGTGTTGACCATAAAGGTTCGCCTACTTTCCGCGTCCCCCAAAATACGCCCTTCTTACACATTCCGCCTTACCTTGTACGCATTATGAGTTTCGCAGCAATCGGTTTGCTTTACTGTATTGCGTTGTACAATGAGCCGAAGTATGACAAACTACCGATTTTATATCTGGGTTACAAGCTTCCCCCAACTGGTCAGCAAAAAAGCTCACTTGCATCTAGACAATGACAAAAGAGCATTTCTGTACTTTTACAACACGCTCTGGACTTCTAACGAGGTTACTCCTTACACCAAACTTCATGTTTACCGGGCTACCACTCGCTCAGTAGTGACACGGTTGTGAGATGGCTTCTACTTGTCAAAGATGTCACGAGGCTACAGATTTTCGACCATCAGAGCCCTTGAGGGGTGGCAAGAGTTGACAAACGTGGTCAAACAAACCAAAACCTTGGATGATGCTGTCGACGTACCGACTGTCAAAAAGAAATCGAGTGAGGTGAGGAGACCTGTTGCATATCAGTCATCTACAGAACTCGCGGGACTATACCTCACTCCTTTGTCATTTTTGGGTTAACAATCCTGCTCTGGCATATAGTTCAAAGTATGGATTAGCACCTTCAAATCGAGTGCTGAATGTTTGGATTTCCAAGTTGTCTTCGATATCTGCCGCTGGTACCAAGAGTGTATATCGATCTCATCGCCGTTCATAAGCAGGTAATGTCCCGCATGGGAAGCTAGCGGCAAAATCTAATGTGTTTTAGTTTAAACAATCATGAACCATGAACTTTCGTGCAGCGGTTTTGAGTGCTGTCTTTTGGTTGCCGCTAAATTGATAGTTACAAATGATACTCCTGTTTACTACGTACGCAAGCTCCATTTTCCGTCATATTGACGAATACTGGGTTCTGAGATTAGTGGTGGAAAGCCAAGTTGCCAACGATTTGGTGCTGAAACATTTTCCAAGATGCCTTGAACATTGAGTTATATTTAGAGCAATATGTAGATTTCCCTTCAGTGTAATATTATTCAGGTTCAACTTTCGATTTAAGAAAACCTTTGGTCATGGATATCAATAAATAGGAGGTAAAATTCATTAAAAAAAATTCACTTGGAACTCACCAAGATATTTAAGTCTGTCGGTGTGATCAAGGAAACATGCTCGATGATACCTGTAGACATATCAACCGATAACTGATGTTTGTTTGCATCTTCTTGTTGCTCTGCTTGATCAGTCTCTCCTCGCTGTTCCAAAGATGTCAATGAGACCTGATCAGCATTGCCACTAATGAGGGTGAACGCTGCGCTTAATCGTTCAACTTCACACAAGTCGAGTAATTTTGTTGCTTGGATTCCGATATCAAATGATGGCTGTATTCGTGAGCCTTCTGACGGAGGCTGGCTGGGATCAACATGAGCCAAAAAATTAAGTGCCTGAAGAGAGAACAAATAAACAGTTTTAGGACTCGAGTAAGCTGTCAAGTGGTTATTCGAATTTTACGGGGTCTTGTGTGAGATGGTGGGGGGGGGTGTACTGAGGGAGATGGTCGCAGCTTTTTAGTACATACTTTCCCATGAAGGACAGTATGCCAGGTAAATCTTATAGACACAAGTACCTATTGTTTTTCCGCGTAAAAAATGTAAGCCTTGGGTCTTGGAGTGTCGATCTACATAAGATCTCATATAAGCATGGGGTTGAGGTGAATGAAAAGGATAATTTGAGTCATCATCGCTTATGGCGACGGCCTGCTAGATGCCATGTTTGAACTTGATATCCATGCACAGTTTTTTTATGAAAGACAGTCGATACACCATGTATGTCGATCCCATGAACTGTGTTGAAGAAAAGCTGTGAAATTCAGGGTAACATGGCATTTTCTATTTTAATGCATGTGGAATGTGGAAATCACACTTGACAAAGCAAGTCCTATGCTCTTTTTGATATGCTTGGTGACGAGTACCTCTGTTTTGAAACTAAAATAGAAGGATTTGGTTATATTGGGTTATCCTCTCTGAAAACAGCTGTAATCCCATCTACCTAATACATTTATACACTGTGTAAGGGTTGGGCAACGATGTTTGCTTCTCTGTATTTCTCTGCACTGCGATGACGGCGTGGCCCAATACGATTCTCCAAGAAGAAACAAGGATTAGGTGACCAACAATCGTAAGTAAAAATCATATGTCCGCAACTAATCCATTATTTTTCCTACCTTAAGGCACGTAAATAGGTAAAAATCCAATTTAACAGTCGTAGTACGAGAAATCCAACAAAGCAATGGTTCACAACACATTTTAATCCCGAAGTGAAATTTAAAGTCCTGGTCAAAAGGAAATGTAATTACAGAACACAAATCCATAGTGGGAGTAGCCTGTGATTTTGGCTCTTGAGCTGGGAGTGAAAACCATATAAGGCCCTGATAGAATCCGAGGAATTTAGTGACAACAAACATTTTTGCAGTCGAAAATGGTTGGTAGCAGCGGAATTCATACCGGAAACGCCAAGATGCTGTGTCAATAGACCTTTATAGTTACAGTGCAGCCGAAATGATTATCTTCACGAGTAGTAGCAAGTTCAACGGTTTAATTGGAAGGTCAGTGGTCTTGTCTGTCTGTGCATTCATGCATCCTCTTAATTTTTGCGCAAAATTAGTCCACTGAAATTCCCCATTTTTTATTCGATTCTACTTACAGCTTTACTGTCTTTCTCCCGCTATTCATTCAAACGGGCAGTCAAAAGATGGCAACCAAAACCGGTGCACAAAAGTGCATGATTAATGGTTGTAAAAACTGAACTAAACTGAACTGTTCTGTGTTTTATATCTAGTTTTTCTCTACCAACGTCAAGAAATGCCACCAACAGCATTATTCAACTGCGGAACGTTTCGTCAAATACAAGAAATCTATTAATATATATTAGATCTGCTCAGCTACTAAACAGACGGCTGAGAATGATTCATATTATTCAATAAATTCATCACGGGTATGAACCGCTCCACCACCGCCCATCTTCCCAGGCAGCCTTTGTATGGCCGCGGCCCCCGTTCCTGAATGTTGACTGCACATTTTTATATTCAATAAATAAAAAATGAAGTAAAAAGACATTTATTTATCATTTACATATTTGCCTCTCTGTCCCTTCTATTTGCTACAACTCCCGGTTTAATTCATCCGAGATTAACCCGTCTGTGTTCATCCGTTCATTATTTTTCCACCAGTTGGGCTGCCAGCTATCCCCAGGCATCGTACAGGATCTTAGCCAAATTGAGAAGGAAGCATATGATAGTACCTTTAATCACGCCCACAGTTTTCAACGTCAAAATATTGAAACAACGACTTGAACTAATCTTGAATATCTTACTTACATATACTGGCATATTACCGTATGCCTATAATCACGAGGTTCAACGTTGTATGACGAAAGAAATGGAAGCGGTCATCAAAAATATATGAATGTAAGCGGTTATTTACTGCTATTGATTTTTAAAAAGGACCATACGGGTACCGAATAGATTTAGTAAGATACCCTATGGTCATAAGCTGCTATGGATGGCGCGGATCTCAAAGTAACACACTTCTAATGACATCAAAATACGGCAAATGATGACAAGTTGTAGAAAATGAAAACTTACCGAGGCTATTGATTTGAGGAGTTGGTGTTCCCCAGGTTCCAAGTAAGGTGCGGAAGTAAGAAGCAACTGCGGATTAAGTAATGCACGAGTAATAAAACTAAGAATGTGTTCAGTTGTTGACTGACGGAGCATAGAATCTGATGCACCAAAACTCCGCAAGGCTTGACGGAGGCAGTGTAGCCAAAGTAAACAAGATTGTGGAAACAGCGTCACTGTTCGCTGGAAGTTATGAATCAATTTATTCACTAGTGTTATGAATTGAGAAGTTTCTGACTGTACAGAGTAGTTGGAGGGGGATCGTGAGCTGGCCGCTGAGCAATTTTTCGTAATATTACTTCGATTTGGTGCAGAATCATCGCAAAAATTGGAGTTACTGTGACATTTCTGGAGCTCGCCAATATGCACTTCAGTGACGAATTTACATAAAAGAGCGGACAAATACCTCCGAGCATCAGGAAGGCCTTCTAGGAAAAAACGTGTTGGGAAACTGGATCTTAAGTCGGTGAGGAAATGAGTATTTACAATCCCACTATCTATGGTCTTTTGGAACAATTGCCTCAAGACCGCACGCAAAAATACTGAATCCTTCTGCGTAAGGGAAAAATTCGTAATTGAACAAAATAGGGTGCTTGACAGCCTTTCAAAAACGGAGGCGGATGACCCGAACAGGTGTAAAATTCCTGCGAATATATGCGGATCTCGCTTGAGCAACGAAATAAGCGAAACATAACAGCTGTATTGATCTCCAGAAAAAGCACTCGATGACTTGAAGCAAATTTTGCCAGCATCAGCTAGATGCACATTTAATCCATTAACATCCCTCTGTTGAAGTAAATGAAAACCGGAGATCAGTGACAAGCGTTGAGCATGAAAAACCCAGTGTTCTTTGACTAATGCTTCGTACATGCTCGGAAAAACAAAATCCATGGCTTTAATACTTTCCATTGTGTCCTTTATATTCTCTTCATCTCGGACCAGATCCAAAGAAGCCCTCAATAGGGCACCACTGAATGCGTGCATTTGGAAACTTTGACTCGCAGTGCGTCCGTAACGTGGTCCAGATGAGGACAGTTCAGTTCAGTTCTCACAGGACGAATTGTGACTCTTGCCAATCGCGCGTCCAGTTCCTTGTGTTGTCTGCGGTTTCTTTGGCTTCCAACACTTCGAGTCAATGGTAGTTTCTGAAAGGCAGAATGTTAGTGTGCAGTATCAGATCCTTTATAGTATTTCGGAAAGTAAAGCCTAACGATTAACTTTCAACACTCAACTTCCGGAAATACCACTGCCCAGCATTCATCTAGCCTTCTCTTGAAAGATTCGACATTAATACAGTTAACCACTGCTTCAGGTAGTTTATTCCACAGTGGTATAACTCTGTTTGTGAAGAATCTTGCTCGCAAATTTAGTCTACAACGACTTCTTTCCATTCTAAGTTGATGGCCCCTCGTGCCCCTGGCAGGAACGAACGAGAATACGTTTTGGAACTTTAGACCCGAAAGCCCTCTGACAATCTTAAATGTCTCTATAAGGTCGCCTCGCATGCGACTGCGGGTCAGGGAGAACAGGTCCAGGTCCCGCAGTCGTCCCTTATCTTTCTGACCTGCTACCATTCTAGTTGCTAAGCGCTGTACTTTCTCAAGACGGCGTTCGTCCTGTTTAAAAAAGGCGCCCATTGCTGTACGCAATATTCTAAATGTGGACGCACTATGGTTTTGTACAAAGGTGCAAAAACCTCGGGTCTTTTGCAACTTACTACAGCGCACAACCTGAAAAGTTCGTATCGAGCTATATTAGCCGCACGCTTGCACTGTGGGGATGGCCTGAAATCGTTCGTGATCATTACCCCTAGATCCTTTGCCTCAGAGACATGCTGCAAATGCATCACGCCTCTCGTGTCATCATTGGCTCTTGTGGTCAAGAGCTGACACTTACCTAGATTCAGTGGTAGATCCCACTTATCCGACCATCTCCGAACTGCATCTAGATCCTGCTCCAGTCCTTCCCCAGCTAACTTCACATCATCGGCGAACATGAATCAAGGATTTTGAATATCCTTTGCAAGGTCGCTAATGAATATCAAGAATAATAAGGGACCTAACACTGATCCCTGTGGGACACCACTCGATACTCCCTCAGGTTCGGTTGTATAATTTCCAACTCTCACACTGAATGTGTGACAACTGAGAAATTGTCTAATCCATTCTCTTGCTTTGCGTAGAATCCCCACTGTCTGCACTTTTAAATCCAGAAGCTGATGACTGACTGAGTCGAAAGCTTTGCTGAAATCTAGGTAGCAAACCTCTACTTGGCGGCCTGCATCTATTCTTTTTGTTACTTCGTCTAGAAATGCCAGTAGGTTATTTAGGCACGACTTTTTCTCGACGAATCCATGAGGGGCTTGAATCAGAAGCCCATGGGCCATCAGGTAAGAACATATCTGTTTCCTGACTATCCGCTCGAGACACTTGCATAGGACCGAGGTCAAACGTACCGGTCTGTAGTTGCAAACATCGTGTCTAGGGCCTGACTTGTGGGTGGCCACTACGGTTGCAGTTTTCCAGTCCTCTGGAAGCCTGCAATTACCGATGAACTCCCTAAATAACTTAATGACCGGTCCCGCTAATGCATTTGCTAGAGGCTGGATAACGGCACGGTGCAATCCATCCGGTCCTGCTGCTTTATGTCTGTTTAAGGTATTGAGCTCACGGACCACGTCCATATCACAGAGGTCGAACTCCGTGAAGTGCTCTCTTGTTCTAACCAGGCTGCAGTCTACATTCTGTCCTGCTGTAGGTGACTGATAAATTCCCTTGAAAAACCCAAGGAGTGCATTTGCCTTTTCCTGGTCGGTGGTGGCCATTACGCCTTCAGTTACCTCCAGTGTACCTACTCCCTCCTTAGTGTTTTTGTTTGCCTACACATATGCATAAAACCTCTTCGGGTTATGTCTTACGTTTTGCGCTAACTTCTCGTGTTCATACTTCGCCTCCTTTTGAAGGGATTGTGCTCTGTTGCCTGCCCTCTTGTAGATCGACCACGCGTCGGCAGTCATGTACGCCCTAAAACGGGCTCAGCATCTCCTCCGGACTACTAGTGCCCGATTTAGCTGTGGCCTCCACCAAGCTGGTCGTTGCCTATTGTTCCTAGGTCTGAA